TGGAGATAGATGGATGAATGTGGGGTATAGATAAATCGAAGAGACCGACAAAACTAGTACATGGAGGTTGACCACCAACCAAACAACCGACCGAACAGCCAACTAAGCAGCTAGCACAAGACAAAGACCATTAAGTGCGAACGTTGTAAGTACTCTTGAGCATTGTCAGGCCACCACCAACCACATGGGATGTTGGCTGGTGTGGCTAACAAGAACAACAAATGCAAAAAATACAGCCGACTACGACGGGTGCGCTTAAGACTTATTTGCATTGGGTGGTTGGTGGACTGTTGTTAAAGCTGTCGATTTTTACTGTCTTTGTTTTCGTGATGCTGTTGTTGGTGTTGTTGTTGCTTTAGGTGGTGTTCTGTAGCATTTTGTTGGCGCTTGAGGCGTTAAGGCCACCACCATTGTTGGCTGGAGGTTTCGAGTTTGTTGTTGTTGCTGATGCAGTTATTGTTGTTGTTGCTGCATTACCAAAACAGCAACAATCCAAAAACAATCTTCAACGTCCACTTTCTTAATTGTAGTTGATGTAGGTACTGATGTCGGTTAATTTTTTCTTGTTGTTGTTGTTGGTCTTTATTATTGTTGTTCTTGTTGTGGTTTTAAAACAAAACGACTTTCCTTTTTTATATTTGTTTCTGTTTGTTTTTTATACAAATTTACATTTTGTTCTGCGATTCTATGATGGTGGTTTCCTAAAAGGAAAAACAAAACCCCACACAGCATTCTCACACATCCACAGATGGACTTTCAAGAGGAAGTATAATTCTTAAAAGACGCTACCAGACAATTTTACACTGTAAGAATTTTTGTTTTTTCTGTCGTATAGACATCGTTTTTTTTTCCTGTGCCAAACAATAGCTGGATATCAACAATGAGATTTCATCATTGCCACCACCAACGAAGCATCTTAAAAAGCTTTCAGAATGTTGTCCATTGTTATGACTGGAAAGATAAATACTGGATAGGCTGGCTGGATGAATGTTTGTTTAATATTTGTTTTGTTATTGTTTTTCTTCTTTTTTTGTTCGTTCATCGTCTTCTTAAACTTGAAGTGTTTGCACAATTTTAAATTATTGTTGTTGTTCTTGTTGGGTTGTGGTTGTTTATGAAGTGCATTCATATCAGTGATATGTCTAATTTTTGTGAAGTTGCAAGATATATGTTGGGAAGTTCGTTCGAAGTTATGTTATAAAAAATCACTTCTGAAAACGAGATTGCGAATTATGCAGCATACTGCATATATGAGATACTCGATGTTATCATCGAAATCTGGAAAATCAGAAATAGGTAAAAAATTGATTCGTCTAGCCCAAAAACTCATACGAGGATATATCGGGAAGAATCTAGATGACATATTTTAGTTCTAATTTGGGTGAATTCAAAATCGCCAACTAAGGCCCCAATACATGAATTGATTCCGCAATCTTCTTTGGAATGCCTTTAATGAGTTCAATCCAATACAAAAAGCCAAAAAAAAAACTTGATGAATCAAAATGTTGAAATATTCTGTGATTTCAATTTTAGATTTCCTCTTCAAAAAAGCTCATTAAGTGGCGCCCAACGTAACGAGTCATATTGCATTTAACCAACGTTTTGTGATTTTGAATTTAAAACTGTCAGTATCCAGATGCAACTGTAACATTTCTGAAAACGAAATAGCAAATTTTGCAGACCCGAGATACTCGATATTATCAACGAAATCTGGAATCCCGAAAAAATTGACTCGTCTCGCCCAAAAACTCACCGAACACTATGCTCATACGCGAATAAATCTGCAAAAGGCTCTAGATTATATAGTTCAGTTGCTGCGAAGATTTAAAATCGCCAACCAAGTCTCCATTACATGAATTGATCTATGTTGATCCCGCATTCAACTTAGGAATGCCCTTAATGAGTTATTTCCACTCCCTAAAGCCACAAACTAGAAGATTCAAAATGATGGCATATTTTGTGATTCCAGTTGAAGATTGCCTCTTCATTTACCAAATCATTCTCTTGGACTTAGTGACCAGGTTCATGACAGGTTCAAGAAATCTGAACTAATCATTCATTGTGGCTGGAAATAAATTTCTGATTCTATATATTTTGTGTGCAGATATATATTTTTCCCCATTAAAATTGGATAGCCAAAATCCGTGTCATATTCTCTACAATATTTCTGAGTTTATTGCCTAATGTTGCAGGGTGCGATGAAACCCGGGATGAAATATCCAGGGTTTCAGGATATTTCAATACTACTCAAGTACGGAGAGGATATTCTTAGGCTGTGCACCACGTTTAATAAAAAAATGTATCTGACGATTCCTTTACAGGTAAGACCCCTTAAAAAGTATCTCGGATAGAAAATGGCGCCCAACGAGTGGAAATAAAATATATTTTTCTCTGGACTTTGTTTCGATGTGGCAACTCCTTTATATCAGGTGTTCAAAAAAGACGCATCCGCAATGTTTTACAATGGAAAATTAGAAATCCGTGCTTACATTGTAAAAAAATTGCACATGCGTCTTTTTTGAACACCTGTTTCTATATGAAGGAGTTGCCAGATCGATACCAAATTTAACATGTTTTCATAACAGAGATGGAAGTTTCCAGAACACTTAACTTTTTTCTGTTTATACCGCCCTTTTTGTACTAGGCTATTAACTTTCCGAACTACCCTCGTACATAGAATACCTCATGTGGGTCTTCTATAGAAGACCTCCTACGAGTCTTCTATAATGACCAATGTGGGTCTTGTATACATAGAAGATTTACTGTGGCTTTTCAATCGCCTGTGGGCCTTTCATTACTTGATCACAGAAGAACCCAAAATTCAAATTTTTTCCTGCGGGGGTCTATTGTGTAAAAAATATCTCCTTTTCCAATACATACATTCGTACATATCGCATGTCTTCTACAGACCACCACTTTTGGGACTTTTACAGATAAGACCTCTTGTGAGTCTGCTATAGACAGAGAGTAGGACTTTTGTTGGTCATGCGGGTTTAGTATATATAGGTGACCTCTGGCAGGACTACTATAGTTAGAAGAACTCAAAACTAGTTTGCTATATACCAAATTGGCGCCCAACGCGAGGAAATTAAATACAGCTATCTCTGGTTGTTTGCCTAAGTTAAATTATTTTTCATGACCTTTTCTGTAAACAAGTGGCGCCCAACGCTAGAAGTTAATATTTTTATATACTTTAATTTCTAGATTTTCTTATATTTTTGGTTTTAACACCATATCCTCGTTCCCTATTTATACTGTGAGAGTTGTGCCGCTTTAAATAATCAATGTTATGTAAACTCCTGTTGAAATTATGAAAAAATAAACATAGCTACTACAAAAAAATTAATTCCAACAATGATTAGTAAAAATTATTGTTTTAGAAAATTTACTTTCAAAATAATTATATTTCGCAATACAAAAAAGTAAAAAAAAATTACAACATATGTATATCCAGCAGTAACCTTGACATAAAGTCTACATATGTCCATGTTAATAAGTGTGCGAAAAAATATTAACCTAAACACCTTCCAATTATTTCCGTCTTTTGTATAAAAAAGAAAAAAAAAACAATTTTTGTAAACAATAAAAAGCAAAAGTGTTCGGCAACAAAAAACGGCGTTTAATTATTTTTCTGTTTTTGCCGCAACACCCTCTGTGCAACAAATGAAAACAAATCTTAATGATATTTGTTTTTTGTTTACGCAAAATCGCAAAAACCGAACCAAAACTACTTTCACATTTGCCACTAGGTTTTTGTGATGAAAGAAAAAAATACATCCCGGCATAGTTTAGGGAACCTAAACATAACGTAACATCATGTGGGTCCATAGACCTAAACGTACTGTGAAAACTGTTCATCATTTATAAAAGCAAAACAAAAATGGCAAAAAATAAGTCATAACTGAAATATTCCGCAAAAACGTTTAAATTGTTGTGATAATTGTTTAGTTTTGACAGGTGTTAACCGCAAAAATAAATAAACTGCCCAAAAAATAATAAAAGAAAATATAAAAAACGAAACACACACACTTCATGGGAGATTTGTATGATGTTTTAACATTTAATTTTAAAATAACAACAACAATAATAACATAATACTAACAACACTGACAAACAACAATCAACAACTATTTGTTTGATCTATTATGTTAGATTTTGGGGTCCGGCCGCCTTGAATTTAGTGCTGTCATGCTGTTCGTATGAAAGTTTACATGCCCGAAAAAACAAGAATCTAATCAGAAAAATGATTGGAGACAGTGGTTTCAAACAGAGAACTCGCAGATTAAAATAACGGAGTATTTTAAAAAGAAATTTTCATTTTTACGGAATTTCCTCCATGAAAGAAGTAGATTTTCTGTACAAATAGGATTGTAAAGAAGACCACAGAAAACCTCCTGTGAGTCCATACATAAAAGACCTCCGTTAGTTCTTCTACACATAGAAGGCATCCGGTGGGTCTTCTATACATAGAAGACCTTTTGTGGGTCTTCTATACACAGAAGTCCTTTTCTGGGTCTTCTATACATAGAAGAACTCCGGCGGGTCTTCTATACATAGAATACCTCTTGTGGGTCTTCTATACATAGAAGACCTCTTTTGGGTCTTCTATACATAAAAGATCTCTTGTGGGTCTTCTATACATAGCAGACCTCTTGTGGGTCTTCTATACATAGAAGACCTCATGTGGGTCTTCTATACATAGAAGACCTCTTGTGGGTCTTCTATACATAGAAGACCTCTTGTGGGTCTTCTATACATAGAAGACCTCTTGTGGGTCTTCTATACATAGAAGACCTCTTGTGGGTCTTCTATACATAGAAGACCTCTTGTGGGTCTTCTATACATAGAAGACCTCTTGTGGGTCTTCTATACATAGAAGACCTCTTGTAGGGTCTTCTATACATAGAAGACCTCTTGTAGGGTCTTCTATACATAGAAGACCTCTTGTGGGTCTTCTATACATAGAAGACCTCTTGTGGGTCTTCTATACATAGAAGACCTCTTGTGGGTCTTCTATATATAGAAGACCTCTTGTAGGGTCTTCTATACATAGAAGACCTCTTGTAGGGTCTTCTATACATAGAAGACCTCTTGTAAGGTCTTCTATACATAGAAGACCTCTTGTAGGGTCTTCTATACATAGAAGACCTCTTGTGGGTCTTCTATACATAGAAGACCTCTTGTAGGGCCTTCTATACATAGAAGACCTCTTGTAGGTCTTCTATACATAGAAGACCTCTTGTAGGGTCTTCTATACATAGAAGACCTCTTGTAGGGTCTTCTATACATAGAAGACCTCTTGTAGGGTCTTCTATACATAAAAGACCTCCGGTGGGTAATCTATACATAGAAGACATCGGGTGGGTCTTGTATACCTAGAAGACCTCTGGTGGGTTTTTTATACATAGAAGACCTTCGGTGGGTCTTCTATGCATATATGACATATCCTGTGGGACTTCTATAAAATACCTCCTACAGGTTTTCTACATAGATAACCACCTGTGGGTCTTCTATATATAGAAGATCTCTTGTGGATATTGTATCGCCTGTGGGCCTTTTATTCAATATATCCTTCTTTGGGTGCTTTATAGATAGAAGGCCCTCTGAGGATCCTTCGTTGTCAAAAGACCTTCTTAGGGGGTTTCATAGATAGAAGACTTCCTGGGGGTCTTTTGTGATAGAATATCTCTTTTTCCAATAGATAGAAAATATTCTGTGAATTTTGTGTATAGGTGACCTCTGGTAGGACTACTGTAGTTCGAAGAACTCAAATCGAGTTCCGTATGTACTAAATGGCGCCCAACACGCCCAAATAAAATATAGCTTTCTCCTAAATTAATTTATTTTCCACCTCCCTTTCTATAAACAAGTGGCGCCCAACGCTAGAAGGTCTTATTTTGATATCATTTTAATTTCGATCACTTCACTGAAAATTAAGAAAATAAACATGGAACTCTGGACTATACACAGGCAGCCTCTCGAAGGACTACTCTAGTCAGAAGAACTCAAAACGAATTTCCTAGATAAAGAATTGTGCTCAACACGGGGAAATAACATACAGTTATTTCTTGATGTTTGTATAATTTTTTTCATGATCTCTTCTATAAACCAGTGGCGCCCAACACTAGGAGGTCGTATTTTGATATCACCTTAATTTCGACCACTTCACTGGAAATTAAGGACCTCTGAAAGGACTACTATAGGTAGAAAAACTATATTAGTGCTACCTATAGCAGGTCTTGTTATTGGCTATCTATGGACAGAGGCCCTCAGATTTTATGACCAGAGGAGACAAGGGTTTACTGTGGATCTTAAATATGACCCATCTCTTGGATACCAAAAACCTTCGATATATCTTCTAAATAAATATTAGCCCTCGCATGTTTTCTATACACCTTCTTCAAAAAAATGTTTTGGTTCCACAGTCCATAACTCGCTGACAAAAATACGATATTCATCACAAACATGAATAATTTTCATACACGCTAGTATGATTTAGGTAAACAATTGGACAATTCAACGAAAATTAATTGAAAAAATAAATAACAACAAATTTGTGTTAATTTGCAAAAAAAGACCGCAACGCAAACGCTATGACATGGTTCAGTTCTGCAAAAACGTAAAACCCGAAAAGAAAACCGCTCAGCAGCTAGACAGACAGCGCAACAGTTCAAGGGTAAATCCGCACAACAATCACATAACCAGACTCAGAAACTTCCAGCTACCAACGACTACCAGTCAATATATAGGCGCGATGTATGTTACACGTCTTAATCTGGGATTAGCATGCGGATAATCTTTATTCACACTTGCTGAAGAGGGGGATTTTCGTTTGCTCATTCGCTCATTTGTTTGCATATCCGCCCGCCCATTAAGACATTTGTCGGCTTCGTTTATCGGAAACGAAAACCAAACAACACGACACATAAAATAAATTGGCGCAAAAATGAGAGTGTGAAAACGTGACTCTTGCAAAATACTTCGTGTGTCTGCGACTTTTTGAAATTCGTGTTTTCGTTGTAGAGTTGTGTGCGAATTCGAACTTCGTACAGTATGATTTGCAAGATCAAGTGAAAATGACATAACATATGTTTTGATTTTTTTGTTTTAGTTGATATTTCAGACAGCCAAGAGTTGGCATTGTCTGCCACAAAATAATAATAACAATCAATAAAAAAATCCGCAATCAGAGAGGCACAGCTCAATTGAGACTGCAATTGTTGAGCTCAATAAAATTAAATAGTTTAAAGACCTTTTTTATTATTATTGTTTTGAAATCACTTTGTTTTTATTTTGTTTACAATTTTTTTGGGGTTGAATTAATATTTGTGTTTTTTTTATTGAAATTAGGTTCAAGATCGTCTTTATTAAAAAAAAAAAACAAAACAACTAAAATCACTCATATCAGACGAAATGGGCTTGGTTTTTGTTTTTTCGAAAACAATTTTTGTTGTTTTTAAATTGATATTTGTTATGATTTCATTGGCAACATCAGTCATACGTCATTGCAACACCATCAATGAGTTGGGAAAGGAAGTCTCAATCATGTCGTTTGATCAGAATCAAATGAATGTCATGACCGATGATGTTGGGAAATATTTTATGCTGATCCAATTTGTTTTGTGGGAGTGTGAACATGAATAATTAAGAAATTCAAAATTGATGTGTTGAGATGATCTCTTGCTAAAGCCTTTTTTCAATTTCGATTTAGTTAATTAATTTTAAAAGCTACGAGCTTCTGATAGGCAGCCAAGAGCGACATTTCATTAGAGACGGCCTTATTTAAATTAAAAATTCACTACTGCACACGTATTGACATGCCTTCTTCTCCGGGTCTATTCGGGAGAAGACGGCTAGAGTATCAATTTCATACTTTCCAAACCGACGATGTCTTCTGCTACATAGGGATGGACATATACAGAATATATATTCAATTGTTTCCAGCTCCTCCTGATCCTCACATAAACGGTAATAATCCATTTCGTTAATGTCGCATTTGGAGCGATCTAATCCTGCAGTGACCTGTTATGATTACTACAATGATTATCTCTCTCTCTCCCTTACTATGAGACAGCAACGATGAAGTTCTACCGTGTGACCATCTATTGCCGGTATTTTCGCAGTAGCTCATTCGGATTTTGCCAATGAAATTGCCAATAGGAGGTTGTACAGATTCCTCAATCGGTAGATTGGACGGCTATGGGCCCCATCTAGCAAGTTCTTGGGCTATCCCATTCCCTTCTATGTTGTTATGTCCAGGAACACAACATCAATTACCTTTCTGCAGAGCAACATTGCAAACAAGAACCGCTTTTGAGTTTATAGTACACGACTTAAGGGCCTCTTGGCTATCGGAATACAATATCAGCAGTAAGTGTTTTGATTATATCAGCCTCTTTCATGATTGCTCGAATTTCTGCCTGAATAGCACTACAGAAATCGTTACGAGTTATATATATTCAATTCCTTACAGCATACACCTGCACCAATGCCTTTCTCCATCTTCGACCCGTCAGCATAAATCGAAAGACCGGTCAAAGGTAAGGGCCACTTGGCCAGGATTCCCTGCTAGGAAAATCTACTCTAATTTCTACAAAGTCATTATGGTAGGGAACATAGTCGCCGATGTGAGTGTTGCTATCTAAAAAGTCGCAATCTGTAAATGCGTTGAGGATCTAGCGTGGTCAAAGTGAAGCGACTTCCACGCGTCTGTTTTTCGTAGTCTCAGAACACATCTTGCGGCCTGAAAATTTCCCGAGAAATCAAGTGGTTGGAGATTCAAGATTACATTAAAGGCCGCTTGTGGAGTAATCCTTAGTGCTCCGGTAATCAGGACCGACGCTGATCGATGCACGCTACTTATTTTGGCCAGCAGTGTACGCTTGTTAACCCCTTGCCACCATAACATAAGTTAGTATAGGGAGTACAAACAGTTTATGATCTCGGTTTTTGGTCCCCAACGTTTACATATAGAGTGCTATTAAACCTTTCTTGAAGTTAAATAAATAGAGAAACAGTGGTTTCCCCGACGGCTGTCCTGCCAAGGAAACACCCATCCACCGAGAACCAGTTTTCCCATGACACGACCAGTGTCCCCAATTCGACATCCCCTTTTCTTTTTTACCGCATCTATACATCCCCATGGCAAGTATAACGTTCAAACTTTTTAGACTGTGAATATAAAAGTTTTTGAGAATAGTGATATAGTCCTATCATCTGATTCGACGACGAATTCAATGCTGATTTCCGCGAAAACAATCCAAACTCATCAATGAGACCCCACCAAATTTTACAATCTGGAAAATATTTTACTTTTATGCCCATGTCACTGCAGCCCATCTGACCCGATTTCATTAATTGAAATATCTTCTAAAGGCGGATTTTTCATCTCCAAACCATTGACAATATTATCGATTAAAAAGGTTTGAGCTAATATCTTAGTAGAGGGGTTTCACAATATTTCTTGCTATTTTCCATTGATTTTTATTAAAATACCAGCCCCATCACTGGAAAACTTATTTAACGTATTGTTTCTTCTGTACTAAAATTTGAAGTATATCTTTCAGAATTATGTATGTATGCATTTCATAAGAATTATGAAAATGTTCAATTTTTTTCACTGCTTAGGAAACCATATAATAAACGCAACACGCAAAAATCTATGCGTTATTTCACACATTTTAAGTGTAATGGAAAATAGAAATGTTTACATGGTTGTGTATACTGTTGCCTTAGAATTAATCAATAATTTTTTGTAGTGTTGCTGCAGACCAGGTGTTTTAACTTGGAAGTAGGTAAACCAAAGCTTACTAAGTATTATAGTGCGTATGCAGAAATATTTTCTTGTTGGTGCTGGCAAAATATGTAATGAACATTAGTTAATAGGCAATAAAGTTTTGTAAATGCAACTTAAGATACCCTATAAACGGTCTAATAATAAAAGACATAAAAAACAGAAAAAAATAAATTACAATAAAAATTTTTTCTATGTTGCGGTATTTGTAAAAAGTACCTGCTTTTTCTAAAATGTAGAAGAGCACTGCTGTCAAACTGAATTTTATTTAATGATCTATATGAACTAGGCCCTATGAATTCTTCTTGGTGAGTCATTCCATTGAACTAGTTCCTCAGTGAATCATTTAATTGAACTAGTTCCTTTGTGTACTGGACACCCAAATTCAAATCAAAAATGTTTTAATAAAACGCTTAATTTAAATTGTCAATTCTTTCGGTTATCTGTCAAACTAGTGACAAATCTCTTAATTTTCC